AAGTCGGTTCTCCATATTTCATGTTCAATTCGAATCTAAAGAAAATCTTGATATTTTATAAATTTAAGGATTAAAATGAGGATATCCTGGAAAAAAATTGGACTGAATTTCGGTGTGATGGATTTCCACCAAAAAACAAGGAAATTATTTTATAAATTTCATGCTGCTCAGAGATTAACTATTGACATTTTATGATTGTTTGATATTGCGATGTATGGTATGTTTTTTGTTTAAAAATAAATTAAAATAATTTTTTAAATAATGTTTTTTTATATTTTTGACATTAGCTTTATTGCACCTGATATGATATCGCGACGCTTTTAAAAAATAATTCAATGAAAAAAACAAATTCTGATATTTTGTTCTTTGATGGGAATAAAAGGTGCTGTTTAAGGAGTCGTTATATAATATTATAGTCACTAGAAATTCTAACTAATCTATAAAAATTTTATAGTATGAGACTGATTATATAAAAGAAAAAATATTATTATTTTTTAAATGTCTTGCATGAGGCAGACTGAATTATAGATTTTGTTTTAAATTGTTAATGCTAGTTTATGTTATGATGGTTTGTTTATAATATTTTTGACTTTGATATAAGTGATTATTCAACTAAGGATGCTTCCAACTCTGGTGCTGATAAATATTACATAGCAAAAAATAAAATAAAAACGAATGGTATTTTTAATTTTGATACAGTAAATAAACTGATAAAATAAATTTAAATTTATGTATGCATATTTTTTTATTTTTTTTAAAATATTGTACATTTTTTTTTTTAAAAAATTATTAATTAATTACACAATGAAATATTTAAAAACATTAGAGGAATTTACAAATAAATTTAAAAGGGTCCAAAATATTTTTGAAATATTTTGATATAAAAAAATGGACCTTTAAGCTAAATATCAAAACAAAAAGGAATAAAATAAATGGGATTGAGCTTGTTAGGTCTAAGACCCAACCTAAATTTGTTATTTTTTTGGGTTAAATCTAACTTAATCTGTATAAATTGTGCTATATTTAGTGACCTGTTTAATCACTGGTCCAAACCAGTAACCCGGTGACCGGTTGGTCACTGTGCGTTGATCACTGTGCATGCATTCATGAATTATGAATTACTCGTACATGCTTTGTACAATGACAGAGTAATTATTTTATCTTTGTAACTATTGAATTTGCAAAGTAGAGAAACGGAAGAAGAACGTACCTGGAGCTGCTGCCTGAAGACGAAGATGACGGTGAGGGGGAGTTGGTTGACCAATGTTCCCCTCTGCTTCTGTTTTTCCTTCCCTTCTTTTCTAATTTCTGGTCTTTTTTTAATTTTTTTGCTTTATTTTATTCTTCATATGTTTGTGTTTTCTGGTCTTTAATTCTGTCTTTGTTTCCTTCGTTATGTCCTCTGTGTTATCCTTTCTCTGGTTTTTTTTTGTGTTCTCCCCTGGGTTCCGCTTTGTGTTCTGTTCTCTCTAGTTTTCTTACTTTTTTTTTTTGCTCGTTCTTAGTTCTCTGCTTTCTTGTTTTGTTTTTGTCTTTCCTCTTTATTTTTACTTTCTGTCTCCTTCTCTCTTTATTGGTTTTTTTCACTTTGGTTCTCTATTTTAGTTGCTCTAGTTCTTCCCCGGGTTCTAAGTCCCTTCTTTTTCTTTATTTGCTCTCTCTTATCTGTCCCCCTCATTCTCTGTGGCCTTATCTGGCTCTTATAAAGCCAGATGATGACCTCTATTCATGTGTTCGTGCCTCGCCATTGTGTGGCACGAACGCCTCTGTTTCTTTGAGAAGAAACAGGGGAAATAAAAGTCCTGCAATTGTTGGACTGTTCAACTTGACCTCTGGAAGATAATGCAGTTGAGGAGACGGGGTCCCAAATGGTTTTGAATTGGCCCCTGGTTTGGAAATGAAGAAGGTGATGAAATGTAGTTCAAATGACGCCGTTTGTATCCCTGGAGGTGGCTATTGGCGCTTGAACTTCTGACATTTAACAATCAGGTTTCTGATTTCATTAATTTATATTTTAAATTTAATTAAATCTTTAAATTTTTTAATTTTTTTTTATCGAATTTACTCTCAAATTTATAATTTAATTTTTATTAATTCTCAAATTACTCTCAAATTTATAATTTAATTTTTATTAGTTCCCAAATTTTTAATTTGTATTCTCTTAAACTAATTCTCAAATATTTATTGGTTATTTATTTTTATGTTTTTTAGAATTTAAAAATTAGGTTATAACAAATTTATTAAATTATAAAAAATTAAAAGATAAATATTTATTTAATAATTTTTATGATAAATATTTTTTAAAAGCATTTAAAAGCAGAAGTATACTTCCAAACAATGTTTTTATTAGTTATTTTTTAGAATTTATTTTAAAAAAAGAGAGACACTGAAAAAAGAAAATATAAATTTCATGATCTAAAATTGAGAAAAATATTTTTATATAATTTTCTTTATATCTTTATAGTGAAATTCAAAAAATAAATAATAAAATATTACTAATTATAATTTCATCCATGCAATTTAACAAAGCTAATCATTCAATGGTTTCAAAAACTTACCTATTTTTTTCAATTGGCTTATTACCTAATCCCTTCATCAATAATTTAGCATTTGTTTTTTTTCTTTTGGAAATACTAGTTTTAGATTGTTTTTTCATAAAAATATCAAAACCACACAAAAACACTTGATTTTTTTTTTTGTTCTATAGACATTTTTGTAAAAACGCCTTACCAAATAATTACTCTCGTTAAAATGACAAAAAATCCTCGGAAAAGATCTTGCTATAATGGAAGTGCCTAATAATCTCTCAAGAAAATAGGAATTTGATTAGGAAAGGTTCAAGAGAATATTATTGTTAAACAAATATAAGGAATAAGCTATAATTAACTCAATTAATTTCTTGGAGAAGTAGGAAACCTAAATTTATTTGTCTATGATGGCAAATATTAATGCAGTAAAATAATATATTTTTTAAAATTAATTTTTAATATTATTATATTAAAATAATATAGAAAAATTATTTTAAAAAGTTATTTTTTAAAATATTTTTGCACCGTAAATGTAAAAATAAAGAAACTGTTACTAACTCAAAAAAAACCCCAATCTCCCCCCCCCCTCTCTCTCTCGACACCGCCTCAATCTCTCTCTCTCTCTCTCTCTAAAGCCTCCCCAAAATTCCCAAATGCACGACCACAGCACTCTTCACTATCCTCCTCCGATACCGTAGCACCCCTATCGCCGGAACCCTAACGGCATTCCCCCGCCGGCGAATATGCGGCGAGAATTTTTCGTTGGACTTCCTTCTTTGTTGGACTCGATTCAAATTCTCCATTCCAATTGGCTCCCTTGCTCCTCCTTTTCAAATTTTAGGGTTTTTTCGTGATCAATAACCACACCGCTAAGAAGAACTAGAGCGACACAAGCAACCGCCTATGGCTCCGGGGCGTAAAAAGGGAGCGAATAAGAACAAACTTCAGTTGCGTTTGGGTGATCTTGTTCTTGCTAAAGTCAAGGGTTACCCTTCTTGGCCTGCCAAGGTTTTTCCCCCTAATTTTCGATTCATTTTTTTTCTAACTTCACTATCTGTAAATATATTATATAGTTAATCTTATGAATTTGATTCATTCTTTCCTCAGTTTTTTATCTTTTCGGATTAGTTTCGTGGGTTTTAGTGATGAGTTTTGAAGATTGGTGGGTTCAGTTTATTTTTTTATGTGAATCAATGTATTTTTCGTGGTGGGTTTTACCATTTTAGTAAGTCGTAAATAATTACAATTTAAAGATGGGTTCAAATATTGGTGAAGGGTTTATTTTTGTTGCTTTACTGATTTTAGTTTAACTTGATTTGGTTCTTTCTGTTGAGCTCTTAAGTTTTCATGCTTGTCTTTAATTCTTTCTTGTAATTTGATTAGTTTTGAGGGCATGAAAATTGGGATTAATTGATTCACGGGTTGGTATATATGCGTGCATTTGATTAGATGATGATGGTATAATGGTTTTTTTCTGTGTTATTGTTTTGTGGGTTTTAGAGTAAGGCTCAGTTGGCTTTGATTTGTGTCTTGGTTAATTTTGGTAGCAAATATGTTGTCCCCCTTATATTTTTGCTCCTTAGCTATTCTCTTTTGAGTGTTTATACTGTTGTTAGGTTGTTTTTGTTCTTTGGTAATTGATTGATTGTTGCTGTAATTTTTGTGGGTTGTGGTTTTGGAGATGTTGGTATTAACTGGGTGAAGGCTTCTTCCTGCAACGGTTGTGATTTATTTTGTTGAGCTTTTGACAGCTTGTCATTTTAGTTGTGTTTGAGCGATTTCATGGGTTTTTGAATTTCAGATTAGCCGGCCTGAAGATTGGAAGCGAGTCGCTGATGCTAAGAAAGTTTTTGTCTATTTTTTTGGAACTCAAGAAATGTAAGTTTCTTTGTGCATTTCTTGTTCAAAATTTGTTCATGCATGGTGAAGGGTTGAGAATGTGGTTATCTTAGTGAGTAAACTGTGCAATAATATGGGCCTTTATATTTCAAGATACGTAGAGTACAACCTGTGTGGTATTTCTCAGAAACATGGAATTGAGAGTTTTCTTCCTTCTAAACCATTTTGGTGTGATTAATAACTGATAGTTTGAGGTATTTGAAAATGAGAATTTGGGACTGGCTGTTGGTATTATGACTACACAACCTGGGAAGCTTGTCTTCAACTAAGAAATGCATGGTTGAGTACTATTTTGGAGTGTGATTTAACATCTAGATCTATTGTAGCTTGTCTTCAACTCTTTGCTCTAATGTAGTAAATACCAGCTATTGAGAAATGAAGGAAAGTAATGACTAGGTTTTTGGATGGGATGGCATTAAAATTTGCTATATTTATTTGCCACCACACTTGACTTGATTGAGTCAGAGACTTGCTTGTGTGCATGGATTAAGTTAGTTGCAACTTGTATTAGAGCTTATTACTTCCCATTTCTTGTTTTTCCTCTTGCAGTGCTTTTGTTGCCCCTTCTGATATTCAGGTATTCACAAATGAAGTGAAGAATAAATTGTCAGCTCGGTGTCAGAGTAAGAAAGATAGGTTCTTTTCCCAAGCTGTGAAGGAAATCTGTGCAGCTTTTGAAGAGTTGCAGAAGGGAAATTCAAGTGGATTGGGAGATAATACTGATAGATCAGCACTAGGATCTGAGGGTCAATCTGTTGACTCAATGGAAGAGGATGGGGCAGGGGATGACTTAAATGAGGGGATGGGTAAAGTCAGACAAAGTGGAGTGATGTGGGATTCAGGACGTGAATTTAGTTCTAAGTTAGAGCATTGTTCCAGTAGACGAGGTGAAGCGGGCTCTGAAGGTATGAAGCCTTCTGTTTCATGTGACACTGATGACAGTTTATACCCAGGTATTTCTTCTGAAAATAAGGTTAAAACATTTGATGGTGAACAACCACAAGAGGTATTATCTGCTTCCAGTTTGGATAATGTTTCCTTTGTAAAGGATGAAGCCTCTTGTAATGGAAATCTGGATGTTAATCGCATCAATAACCTGTGTAATGGTGAGGAGGCAAGGACAAATCCTCATGAGTCTAAGACAGTGGTTTCTGGGGCAGACAGAAAATCGGAATGTGATTCTAGGGAGCAAGTGAAAGGTGGAGAAAAAGGCAAGCATGCTAGTGGCAGAATAAGAGATTCCCCCCCAGGTCCTCCTAAATCAGATTCGGGAGCCAATGGTGGTAGAAAAGCAGAACTATCAAAAGCCAAAAAGGATACTATTATGGTGTTCAATGATATACACAGAAATAAGGTCTTTCAAAAGAAAAGGCGTGCCCAACTTGAACATGGAAAATCTGAGCTTGAAACGACTGAAACTACAAATCCTGCTAAGAAATTAAAGCGTGTAGACATGGAAGATGATGTTACCAAGGGACCCCTCTTAGAAAACATGTGTATTTCGCCAAGCTTGAATGTAGTTGATGACAAAGCAGTCAAACAGCCTGTGGCACATGGGAAAAGAGAAATCCTTTTGGCATTAAGAGCCCAAAGTGGTAAAGTTAAATCTGAAGCTTTTGCCCAGATAGTTAAAGTGAAATCTAATCTTTCTTCTCAATCAGGTAAGTTTAAACCCGGTACATCTGCCATGACGAGTAAAGTTGATTGTGATGCATCTGCCCAGACAGTTAAAGTCAAAAGTGATGCTCCTGCACAATGGGGCAACACTAATTCTGATGTATCTGCACAAAGCAAAGTTAAACTTGATGCATCTGCTGAAATTGGCAAAGCTAAACCTGATGCTTCTGATCCAATGAGTAAAGTTAAATCCGATGTTTCAAATGATGAAACTGTGCTGCCTGTATTAAAACGCCGTAAACGGGCAATGGAGGCAATGTGTGACACTGCTGCTCTCAATTCCGATGACAGAATGGAGAAAAATGCTCTTGAGCTAAATAGTGATTTAGCTTCTATCAATACGAGAGTTTCTGTCACCCAACAGCCCAAAAGGCGAAGAGCTGTTTGCCTTTATGACGACAACGATGAAGATGAAGAACCCAAAACTCCTGTTCATGGAGGAGCTGACAAAAATGTCAGAGCACATGTGTCTGTTTCAGACACTTCCAAGAGAACTAATGTGCTCGTTGAAAGTTCTGTTAATCAAGAACACAGAAGTTCTATTAATGCTCAGACAAGTTTGAGGGATTCTACTGGATTAGAGAATAGCCATTCCAAGGAATCGTCTTTGCTGATGCAGAACAATCCTCTTTCACCTAGCTGTCCAAAAACTGCAAAGAGGAATGATACTTGTGTCTCTCCAAGTCCTGGCAAATCAGAGTCTGAGCAGATGCTGACCAAGGAGGCCAAACCAATCATAACTACCCCTAAGAGGCCTCCTCATCTGCTTCCTGCCACCAAACCAGTTGTGGAACAGCATAAAGCTACCAGGCCCTCCATTAAAGTTTCCACACTTGACATTCAAAAGAGGGCCCAGGCTGGACCTGTCAAGGTTTCAGGTCCTGTTTTGGATAGTTCAAACACTTCTCAAAATCACGTGCCAAGTCAAAAAAGTAGAGCAGCTTTTTCCGGGGAAAGGCTAAAAAGTACTCCTAAAGCAACTTCACAAATGAGTGATCCTACTGTTCCAATGTGTGCTCCATCAGAGTATGATTCTTTTCCTGTTGAAATGTATCTATTGTACTACATTTTTTGATTCATTTTATAGAGAGATTTTCTTGCACAATTGCAGACTGGAAGTTGCTATGGATGATAGAAGCAGCTTTTTGGTCAATTCTAAGACTCTAGATTCTGTTACATCTATGAAACATCTCATTGCTGCTGCTCAAGCAAAAAGGAGACAAGCTCACTCACAACCTTTTCCTCATGGAAACCCTGCTTTTATAGCTCTTAACGATGCTCAGGGAAGGAGCCCAAGCTCCTCACCGAGCCAAATTTTTTTATCTGGTACTAGCAATGCTGTACAGGCAGATATGCAAGGCTTCTATCATCATACAAATTTAGTTTCTCCATCTTCACATGGTCGTCAATCAGTGTCACACAGCCAAGTGGAAGCTGAAGAAATTGAGGAGCAAAGAGTTAGTTCAGGACAGAGGGCTGCTGGAGGTTCATTGAGTGGTGGTACTGAAGCTGCTGTGGCTCGTGATGCTTTTGAAGGGATGATAGAGACTTTATCAAGGACAAAAGAAAGTATCGGACGTGCAACTCGCCTTGCCATTGATTGTGCCAAGTATGGCATTGCAAATGAGGTGGTTTGTTATCCTTCCTTTTATTCTGTTATTTTTCTTGATTGGTTCTTAGAAAAAGAAGAGTTGGTTATTTAAGCTCCATGATTCTTGCTCTTAGTTTTCTTTTCCTTGAAATGTTATTTCCATTGTATATGCTTGTAGTTTTATTCATCTCTCTGCAAGAAGGCTGCTTCATATTTTCTTTTGTTTTAGCTAAAAGACTGCTAGATAAATTTGCCTCCCCTTATATATGGGAATTGTTATGGTTAGGATACAGTTATCCTTTATAATATTCATTACATTGCTGTCGTGGGTTCTTAGATGTCCTCTGTATAAAATGAGTTAAACATTGTTAGGACAGTTATAAAATAAGTTAAACTTAATTCATTTTTTTTGATTGACTGATTCTTTAAAAATTAAAAAGCAATCATACCCTTCGGCCATGTTTGTTTCCCGGAAAATAGTTTCCGGGAAACCACTTTCCAAACTTTCCTGTGTTTGCTTGTCATTAGGAAAGTTGGTCAACGGAAAACATTTTCCGGTCAACAAAAAACACTTTCCAGTCAACGGAAGACACTTTCTGGTCAACGAAAAACACTTTCTGGTCAACGAAAATATTTTTTAGTAAAAAAAAAATTGGTTTGGTTTTTAGGAAAGTGTTTTCCTTTTTAGCTGTGTTTGTTTTTCAGAAAGTGGTTTCCAGGAAAACACTTTCCAAACTTTCTTGTGTTTGTTTTTCAGAAAGTGGTTTCTGAGAAATCACTTTCTAAACTTTCTTGTGTTTGTTTGTTGTTAGGAAAGTTGGTAAACGGAAAACACTTTCCAGTCAAAGAAACATTTGGCTTGATTTTCAGAAAAGTGTTTTCCTGAAAAATTTGGGAGGAAAACACTTTCCGGAAGTTGTGAAAAATTTAAAAATATCATTATTTGCTGATTATATTAAATTTGATCCTCAAATTTTTGATTGCTATATATATTTTGTTTTGAATATTTATTTTTCAATTTCATTTCTTAAAATTTAATTTTTATATTAACTTTGGTTCTCATTTTTATAATTGTTATTTGCTTTTCTCCTATTATTTTTTTATTGAATTTTTTTTCTATCAAATTTAGTCCTCATTCTTTTGATTGTTATTTATTTTATTTGAAATACTTTATGAAATGTTAATTATTATTATTTTAATTTCTTCATTTTTTTTTAAGATTTGATCTTTATTATTTTGATTATTATTTATTTTATTTGAGATAATTTATGATTTTTTTTTCAATTTCATTATTATTCAACTTTTTAATTTGTAAGATTTATTCCTTATTATTTTAATAAACTTGAGAAAAATAAAATATTAATAAATTATTTTCCAGTTCATTTTCCATAATATAACTAAACACTGGAAAATGTTTTCCAGTTCATTTTCCATAACACTACCAAACATCGGAAAATACTTTACTTTTCAGGAATTCATTTTCCCCGGAATTCACTTTCCCCGGAATTCACTTTCCAAAAGGAAACAACTTTCCTGCACACAAACGGAGCCTTCATTTGTTTTTATATAAGTAGTTTGTAATGAATTTTTCATTTCCTCATTTTTCGAAGTTTACTTTTTTTCTATCATGATTTTCCTAGGCTCATGATGTTGCTGTTCTCTTGCCAAAGTTTAATTGAATCAGCTATGGAAGGGTTCCATGATTTGGTGCTGAACAAGCTAAAATGGTTTTGCAGGTTGTAGAACTTCTAGTCCGAAAATTGGAAAGTGAGCCTAGTTTCCACCGCAAGGTGGACTTATTTTTTCTTGTAGATTCCATCACCCAGTGTTCACATAATCAAAAAGGTTGCTTTCTCTTGCTCAACAAGGACTCTATCAATCTTGTTCTTTCAACCCTTGTATATATTAGAGGATCAAAGAATTTCTGTATCAACAATAATGACCGTTGCCATGGTTATTTTTCTGATCTTGTCCCTTCATTCAGGTATCGCTGGAGCTTTGTATGTCCCTACGGTGCAAGCAGCCTTACCACGCCTTGTTGGTGCTGCTGCTCCACCAGGAGCCAGTGCTCGGGAAAATCGTCGTCAGTGTTTAAAGGTTATTTTCCTGTTTATGTCACCATCGAGCTGGTTTGTTTTCATTAGAATGAAAGTTGATCTATTGTTGCTGTCAGGTTTTAAGGTTGTGGCTTGAGAGGAAAATCTTTCCAGATTCTGTTTTGAGGCACCATATGGATAGTATTGGAGGTTCAAATGATGATGCCTCTGCTGGATTTTCCCTTCGACGTCCATCTCAATCTGAGCGAGCTATAGATGATCCAATCAGGGAAATGGAAGGCATGCTTGTAGATGAATATGGCAGGTGCGTTTCTTCCATTTTTATTAATTTTGTTAATGGCATATTTCTTGTCCCTTGAGGAACCGTTTGCATGGTCCTACACTGTCATGGAAATTTGATACAGTTATGGTCCATGACATGGTTATATTAAAGAAATAGTTTTAGAATTGGAACATAACATTGGAATCGACTATTTCTGTTGGAAAATGTAATATGCACAAACGCATGTGAATGTTAAAACAATTATTGCCTAGGGAATTGAACCGGATCCTGGATATGTGATCTGCAGTGTGCCACTTTATGATAAAAAAACACAGGGAGTCATATTTTCATGCATTTCTGCTTTATTTTTTTACTTACAGAAAGGACTGTATTTATAGAACAGAAGTTAAGTGTTTGCAATAAAAAAAGGTGGGGGGGTGTTCTAGAATAACTGTCAATCACAGGTTAGTCTTTGCACAATACCATGTTGAGTACCATTGGAAAGTGGAAGGATGTTTTTCCACTTGTGTTCTTTGAATTATATGGCAGTCTTCTTGGAGGCTTTTAGAGGTGATGCACGTGATTGGACTCTTCCTCTTGACATGGTTATATTAAAGAAATAGTTTCAGAATTGGAACATAACATTGGAATCGACTATTTCTGTTGGAAAATGTAATATGCACAAACGCATGTGAATGTTAAAACAATTATTGCCTAGGGAATTGAACCGGATCCTGGATATGTGATCTGCAGTGTGCCACTTTATGATAAAAAAACACAGGGAGTCATATTTTCATGCATTTCTGCTTTATTTTTTTTCCTTACAGAAAGGACTGTATTTATAGTGAACACAATTATTGCCTAGGGAATTGAACCGGATCCTAGATATGTGATCTGCAGTGTGCCGCTTTATGATAAAAAAACATAGGGAGTCATATATTTTCATGCATTTCTGCTTTATTTTTTTCCTTACAGAAAGGACTGTATTTATAGAACAGAAGTTAAGTGTTTGCAATAAAAAAAGGTGGGGGGGTGTTCTAGAATAACTGTCAATCACAGGTTAGTCTTTGCACAATACCATGTTGAGTACCATTGGAAAGTGGAAGGATGTTTTTCCACTTGTGTTCTTTGAATTATATGGCAGTCTTCTTGGAGGCTTTTAGAGGTGATACAAGTGATTGGACTTTTCCTCTTTTATCCAAATGCTTCAAGGGTTATACTTTGCTGTCATGTGTTAGATCCATTTCCAATTTGTGGTTTTGGGTTTGACAAGTTGCCTTCTGCTTGTCCCTATTGCTATTATATATGAAAATTGTAAATTTGACCATAAATCAGCTCTTTTTTTTTTTTTTTTTTTTTTTGTAACTTAGCAAAAGAAGGGCAAGTTTGATTGCCACAAGTATAAATGAACCACAAGCACAAAATTGACTGAACTTAAAGAAATTAAATAATCCTGGAGTATGAGGTGATGTATCAGATGTTAAGGTACTAGATGTCATTCCGAGAGCCTAATGTGTAGAAGTGTGGAAGACAATTAATACCATAGGTGGTTTTGTATGATTTTGAATACGCATGAGCTTTTGCTGTTTATTTTTGTTTGCTGAAATCATCTTATTATGTTATGAAACCTTTTGTTATTACTAGCGCAAATTTGTTTAAACCCTCGTGTTTCCATATGGCATGCCATATTACATGCATTTCTTTGGTCAATAGAGTTCTGTTTTTAAATGAAATTTGATTTTGATCAATGGAGAATTTCTTTAAATTTGGGTATGGACTTTAAGATCCATATTGGTTTTCTTGGCTTTGGTACCAGTAATGCCACATTTCAGTTGCCTGGGCTTTTATCTTCTCATGTGTTCGAGGATGATGATGATGACTTTCTGAGCAGTCCTGTTAAGGAAGTTAATGTTGTGTTGGGAGTTACAGAATCAACCCTTGCTCTAGGAGAGAGAGAAACATTTACTGCGACTGCAAGTGACAGGCGCCATTGCATCTTAGAGGATGTGGATGTTGAACTTGAAATGGAAGATGTGTCTGGACACCCAAAGGATGAAAGACCCTCATCCACAGGTGTTTTTGTTGAAATGGAAGCACAGCAGCATTACTCAGATAGGTTACCAGAACCGGCATTAAATGATTCTGTCCATTTGCTGCCTCTACCAGATGGTTCTCCACCACCGCCTCCTGATTCTCCTCCTCCACCTCCGCCTTTGCCTTCCTCTCCACTGCTGCCACCACCACCACCACTTCCACTTCCACCTCAACCCTTAACATCTTTGTCACCGCCGCCTCCACCTCCGCCTCCACCTCCACCTCCACCTCTTCCGTCACAACCACCACCTCCTCTTCCCCCTGTGCCACCTTCAGCTCCTCTGCCCACTGTGGTACCACAACCATCTGTACCAACTCAATCTTCGTTACTAGCAAAACCAATACAACCATCTCAGTCATCTGTACAGTCCTCACCTCATTTGGCATATCAATCAGCTGTACCTCATGAATACTGTACTACACCCAGTGTATGTATTTTGGCTGTCCATTTACTTACATGCGAATGTGTTAGTTTGTTTATTGTGACCTAAAATTTCTGTTAACAGAGTAATCAAATTGTCCAAATGGCTGGAAGTACTCGTCATGGGAATCACATGTTCTTAAATCCTCAAGCTCCTCAGCAAAACCCACATTTTCAGCCAGTTAATGCACCTTTTGCACAAAGACCACTGCATTCAAACCTACCACAAAATGCATCAAGTCACTTCTCGTTCACGACGCCTCCAATTCAGCAGCTTCCTTATCCCCGTCCATACTCTATGCCATCACATCCAGATGGCCGGCCACGATTTTCCACTGATGAACAGTGGAGGATGCCTTCAAGCGAATATGTGGATAATCATCCTGGTGCATGGATGGGTGGAAGAAATCCATCTTATGCAGGCCCTTCTCTTGGCCAGGAAGGTATGTGCAACTGTGTCCCTGTAATTATAGAACACTTGATCTTGTATTTTTAAATCCTCTTGCTACCTGTGCTCGCGTGCATATGTATTGCTTAGAACTTGATCTTTTTTAGTTTTTTTAAAAATAAGATTGAATCAGACAGGAAAGTTACCAATCCATATTTTCTCTGTAATTATACTGAACAGCCTGCACAATCCATTCATGCTCTTATCTGGATGGGATTGAATGATTATGGTTTGAGGAGGTTATTGTGGATGCTAAACCATATTACAATTGATGAATCAATATTTTATTTTAAAAAGCAAATTAACTTCTTGAAATAAATTATGAGAGACAAAACGATAACTTACCGTATACTGTTTCTCTCTTTTTAATTCATCATTTTATCTTTAATGCACAATGTCTCTTAATGCAATGATCTTGTATCATTATTTACCATTAATGCTATAGATATCATACTATATATTGAGTTTGCATGTGCTTACTTAAAAATAAAAAAGAAAAAGAAAAGAAAAGAAGAAGAAGAAGTGATGGCAGATGCTTGCTTTCCATCTTTGCTCATGTAGGTTGCTTTTCTATGTTGCTTCCCATATTAGTGATTCTTTTGGAGTAACCTTTTTGATTGGATGCTTGATTAAGCGTTCAAGTTATCATTCACTAAGATTTGTGGTCTGGAGAGAACATAGTTGTAAGGAAGCGTGATTGATTACATGTTATGAATTTTTTTTTAGCAATTTAATTTAGTTTTGTCCTCGCTTTAAAACTTGATACCTAAAGTTCACAATCAGTGCTTTGCAGAGCAAGGATGCAAAATGCTTTTACTAGTTTCTAGCTTGTGCACATTATATGTATTTAAAGTTGTTTGCCATGCTTATGTGCAAGCATTGCAACTGAGCCCGGGAGCTTGTTTATTTCTCATTTGGCATGTTTATGCATGTCCTGCAATGTGAGTTTACGGAAGTTTGTTTTATTTTCTGTGTTTGCTTTGGGATGTACTTTTTCTTTGATACACATGCTAATAGATCATAAAAGTTTTTCCTTGGCAGGTCACTTTCGGTCACCACCTCCAAATAATATGGGTTTTCAGGTTGCTCCCTCCAACAAGGCACCTGCTGGAGCTTCCATTCCAGGTGAGCTTGCTTTGTAAAAGATGGTCTCATTTTGCTCATAAGGGACTTTTGTAGTACTCGGGTAAATTGACCTCCAATTTGAATCTAATAATTGATTTCTAATGCTGTATTGTTTTAGGTCATGGTGTTACACAGATGTTGCCGTGTAGACCAGACATGCCTGCCCTTAACTGCTGGAGGCCAGCATAATAAAGGGCCTGAGGGCATCTTAAGTTTTTGAGTAAGTTTATGTTCCTTCTCATTTGTATTTTTTTGGCTAAATTTCTGAAAAATGTTTATGGTCCTTGTAAATTTGCATTCCAATTCGTTTCAAGAACAGGTCCTCAGATATTTTGCCATAATTTCTGTCACTTATTGTGATAATTGAACCGAATTGGCATCAACATTAGTGAATCATCTGTCATGTTTGGTGTGATTAGAAGTTTATCCTGTATTTAAAGGGTTTCAAATTCATTTCTTTCCTATAATTTCTCACTAAACTTCTAGTAAAATGTTTTTGATTGATCATTCAGTGCCAATTCTTGTGCAAAGGCACCATCTAGGGACTGCAATGATTATGGTAGTTTAGTGAAGCTTAGTACATCTCTCTCTCTCTACATATATATATATATATATATATATATTTATGATGGGAGGATAAATCTGTGGTTAACTTTTCCAGCTCTGTGATCCTGAAATGAGGAAGTGCGCTTGCATTATCATGCGCCTTAAGGAAGGTTCCCATGTTGGACAAAATACAACTACCGCTTGAAGGCAGTGTTTGAACCTTGTGGAGACTCTTGGCAGGGCTCTGTATAGTGTAATTTCCTGTCAAATGTATCCCAGGAACATCTTCTTCTGAGTGTAGGGCCGTGTTTCTTACTTGGTTAGTACATCTGTTTCTTAACTCTTGTAATTACACTGATGTTAGTATATATAAAGATTTTCTAAACCACAAGTTTGACAAGTGGTGAAGTGATTGATTCTTCTAATGCATAACTTTTTTATCTTGTTTTTCTTCTCTATATAATATTTTGTTCTGTAAGGTTCATTAATAATACAACAAATGCATTCACTTTCATTTCCATCTTCCATCTGTGGGGGGCATGCATGGTTCAATCAGATAACTGGATGCATAACTGAATGCCTTTTGGTGCACTGTGCCACTTGTAGAGCTTTTTATTTAGTGAATGTTGGTCTATCATCTACCCATGGCCTTGTGCATGGGAGAATAATAGACTTATATAGGACAATTCGGAAGTCCATTTGGTTTCCAAGGCAGTCAAGCAGGGCTTCTTTGGTCAATTTTTGATGATGACAAATAAATTTGATTTGGTTGGGTGTTTCCTTTTATTTTGGAGGAATTGGGACATGGCTGTAAATGAGTGGCTGGGTTATGTTTTTCATGAATTGACCTCTAGATTATTCCTTTCTGTTTTTTATTTTGGTTTGGTTATATTATGTAAATAATTTAACTTACAATTGAAAAGAAATTGTATGATTTGGTGGCAGCAGGAAAGTTGCAGGAATCCTTTTTCCCTTTCTACTTTTCTTTCATAGGTGAACTTTTGACCACTTTTCAATCTTAAGTGTCAGCTCCTTTGTTATTTGAGTCCTGCTATAAAAGAAATTTCCATTTAGTTCTATAAGCATCATACTGTTGGAAGGCATTCCAGCTTCAGAGGCAGGTGAGCCTGGAAACTTGAGAGATTCAAAATTCTTTCATGTTTGATAATCAAGTACTCAAATTTCAAGTTTTGCATCTAAAATCAGCAACTTATATTTGGTCGAGTTGTAAATTAGCTAAATTCATATGTGGGCTGTATCTACTGATGTGAATACTTATGTGTAAACAAACCGATTCGGTATTCACATCAACCAAGTAAAAAATCGCGTGTTGCATTATCTTGAAAAGATTTAAAGATAAAAAATATGAATAACCAAAAAGAAATGAGATCCCAATATAACACAACGAAGGGAGTAGATTAACACAATGAAGGGAGTAGATTGAAATTGATGCATGGATCATAGCATGAAAATTATGATCTTAAATTTAAACTGTCAGACTAACAACTAGCAACATGCGAACCTTTGTGTCTAGTACTTTATCATTCTTTTTACCCTTAAATCTCTCAGAATTTTTTTTTTTTAATTTTTTCCCAGATTCTCTGTTGCTTAACTTCTCTTCAACTCTCTTAAGACCTGACTCTGTGTGTGTGTGTGTGTGTGTGTGTGTTTTGACTGTCAAGGCTTGATATCTCTCTCCTCATCTCTTCAGTTTTAGTTCATCTTGTACCCAAATGTTTTGATAGTGAATGAAAATTGGAAAGGAAAACAGACATGGTTTTGCTGTGGTTCAAAATTAGCCATTTAATATTAGGATGAGCTTCCTTGGTTGGTGTTCCATGAACAGATAATTCTGTTTTTTTTTTTTTTTTTTTGCTTTGTGGATCAACAGATGTCGAAGATCATTCTACTAGCAACACATTTCTCTTCTATTGTGTTTCTTTCCCTCAATTTTACAGACTTCATATCTTGCGCAATGCCTGTATTTCTATCTTTTCTTGGGAGACTGATTTTGTTATTGGAACTTGCTGTTTTCTGTTCATATTCTTAATTCTTTTTTCTTCTCCCTCGGGTCTTATATTAGATTCTGGACTTTAGAGGGGTAAATTTTCTTGTAGCTCGCTTTTTTGTAATCCTGCCAGGCCTTCACCTCCTACTTGTTTCCTCTTGGTCATTATTTGTGGAAAGCTGAGTTTCCATCTCAGATTCAAGCTTTTATCTGGAGAGGTTTTCTCAACAAAATTAAAACTAATGATTTAAGGCCAGCTAAGAGCGCCCCCTGTTACTCTTTCTCCTGATATATGTGTTATGGGTGATGGTGGTGGGGAGACTGTTAGCCACTTCTTCTTTTTCATTCATAGGGGATAGGTGAGGTAGTTTCTTTGGGATTTGTAGGAGACTACGGGTAGTTTCAGGCTCAATGGATGACATTTCTTCTTGATGTTTGTGGAAGGGTTTGCTAAGAACAATGACAGCAAGATCCTTTGCAATCATGCTATTTGTCTGCGGGGTGTGTTATATGGCAGGAGTGGGATGCAATCTTTAGCGACCACTAATTTTGGAGCAGATCTTGCATGGTGAATAGTTCTTTTAGCTTCATTACACTCTTCTGCTCATAGACTCTTTAAGGGAGTCACTAACTGATATCCAAGGAGACTGGAAAGCTCCAGTGTTGCTGAGTTTAGTTAGCTTCTAGTCTCTTGTTCTCTCCACCTTCTGGAAGGTGCCTTATCTTTCTTTTGTATAAACCTCGTCTTTTATCCAAAACAAATTGTATAAACCTCATCTTTTATCCAAAACAAACAACAATATATTTTCTTTGCTGATTGATTTAACTGTATGTTAATTTATGAGAGATTTGGAATCACTTCTTTGATGTCTTGTTTGGTTGCTTAGAGAATTTGTGGAAACTGACCTACTGAAAAGTGTATGTAGAAAACCTTTGAACACAGGGTGATTAGAAATTGTGGTGGTTACAGCTGTGTTCTCCAGAATCAGAGAGTACTGATGGTTTCTTTGGTTGGCATTTATAATCTTAGGTTGTCAAGAAATGTACTCTTAGAATTCACATAATTAGTAAATGGCATTCGCTCCATCTCAGGTTCATGCACAGTCAATATATGCAATGTATGCATCTTGACAAGTGACATCTAACTAAGGTTGAGAACTAAAGTTGGACTCTTTGATTTGTGAGGCTTAATGACTTTATGTGTTGCATTTTTTTTTTGTTGGAGGTAGGCAGATTTGACTATAGGCCTATATGTAACTCTGCCCCTACGTTTGACTACCAGTTTTCTGATTTTGTGTATAGAAGCTGCCTGCTGCAAATTTTCTTGGTAAAGGTAGTGAGTTTCTGCTGTCATTATGGATGCCTCAAATTATCTGTAAATCTTTTATTCTTGCAGAAGTGGCTAGAAGTTATGGGCCTCTACCTCTTCTTGATCATATATTTTATAGTACGTTCTCAAGGTCTTTTTGGATCTATGCTCACCCCTGTTCATTTGAATTTTATTTTACTTTTAGCTGGGTTGCTTTAACAACCGAGCTACTCTAGGTCTGTTGACTCTTTTCTTCTGGAATTCCGGGTTAGAGAAAATGTTGTGGACTCTTTCATGCATGTTAATCCAATCTTAGCACCTATTTAACAGCATCACTTGAATGTTGCCATTTATTTTCAATAATTTCACAAAATCTTGCACATTCGGAGTTGGATTTTGTCAGGTGAGATTCTTGTGGAGACCTAGAAGTTAGAAATCATAAGGATTTGGCATTTGCTTTCTTCTTGAAATTGTTCATTTTATTTGTAAATAATTCTTGTTACTTAAGATATTCTGAAAGCTCCCTTGACTCATGCCACAGGTTTCTTTTAGCAAAATTAGCAGTCCCCATTCTAGCCATTATTTTAGATATTATTTTTGTAACTATGGGTACACATTTCAAAATGATTCTCATGGATGTAACAAGAAAGAAGGAAAGAGTTGATACCGTGACTGCTGTGTCTCTTTGCTGCCTTCTTTTCTTCTTGATTTCGTAATTGGAATCCTCATAAGGCTTGGACTCCTTCTGGCTTTCTGCTGCTGGTGAAGGGGATTAGTCCTCGGAGCATAAAGCCTATCAGTAATCTATGTCATGCAGTATAATTTATCATGATTGTTTCAGGGGCTGTTTAGTGTTAGAATTAAATGATAACTGCAAAATTGTACTGTTTCAGGTTGAGGCAAAACATTAAGGTGCATCTGCTGTCATTCATGACTTACTCATTTTGGGGAATAAAGATCAAGCTATATCCGGGAGAGCTGCAAAATCCGAGGTAAATATTTGACGTGGACTCTCAAAGCCTAAGCAATGCTCATAATTTTGAAATTTTTAGGTAGGGATAGTTTTTCCGCCAAGTATCTTTCTTAAAATAGTATAAGTGTTCAACAAATGCTTCAATTTTTTTTTTTTTTGAAGAAATAGCTTATTAGTTTACAGTGGTTATTTCCATATGTGAATATATTTATGACCCTTACATGCTGTATCATCATCACATTGTGAACGGTTGATCATCTAGAGAATTCAATTAATTTTTTGTTACAATCATTTATTTCTAATTATAGTACTTTTTCACCATGATTGTCTGATATTAGTTGTTTTCTATGCTTGCTTACTATCTGTCACCACCAGTTGTGAACATCTTGCTTGCTATCTCTCACCACCAGTTATGAACATCAATATGACTACATATGCCCCAACGAATTGCTGCAATTACCAAAATTCACACTTTACAATTGGAACGTTGAACTCATATTAGGTCATTTCCACGAGTTTGGAAGAGTAATGTGATTTTTGGCTATATTTTAAGGGTGATCCCAATTTTGCAGTATGGAAGAGTAATGTGAACCTGATCTTTTCTTGATTATATTCAAGGGTGATTCCTATTTTGCAGATTTTTAATATATGCTTAAAGTTTGATTGTTAGGGATTGACAAAAAAATAAAATGAAAATAACAGAGAGAGAGAGCTGAAATGCAAAGTAAAATGTAGTAGCTTGATTAGGTTTGTAGAGATGTTCATTTGTTAGCTGGTGAGGGTCACAACTGGCAGTGTGATGATTTCCATGTTAAGATTCATGTTGCGAAATAGAAAGTGGTATATAAAGTTGATTACAAGATACTGTTATGATTGCTAGAATGAATGGATCTAATCAGCATATTGTTGAACATGGAGAATTCTTCTTGGAGATACAGTGAACATCAAGTTTCTCTCCGTGAAAGTCTGGGACATAGTCATTGATGCCTGTAATATTGTATAAGCTAATGTGCGAAACAAAAAAAATAAAATGAGAACCATTCTGGGACTTTCATGGTGTTGGGTTCTGTCGGATGGGGGAATAGTAGAATAGTTGATTTGGTGGTTAGTATGATACAATTGTAATATGTCATGGATGTATGCAGTAGAGAGACTCTGGAACAGCATCTACCGGTGGAGAATCTTGAATTTATGCTCAACAGTAAGGAAGTGCGTTAATATGAACAGATTTGGATTTTAGCTCTCTTTTATTTCCCCTAAACTCTTGTTTATATTTCCTGCCTTTAATCCTCGGTCCCTCTGCGTCTTGGGCTTTAATATGCAAAAGAGATGGAAAATTTGAAGAACAAGTACAGGGACCAAACCTTAAAAATAGTGAGAACCTAGTTTTACCCGAATGAATATGGAATGATACAAATATTGAAAAGAGAGAGATGATGGCTGGTAACTGTTAGCTTATCTGGGTTTCGTTTTGATCTTGCTTTACCCGCAAGAACTGGATTCTATTATTTTGACAGGTAAGGAGTTAGTCTCCTTGGCCGTTGGGCAGACTGTGAATGTTATAGTCCTGACAATAGAACAGGTGACTTGTAGATTTCACTTGAAGATGAAATCAAAAGAGAAAATGGATTAAAATGATCTAAACTTGCTCAAAATTCCCTTTTTAATTCGAGGTGCAGTAAATGAAGCTTATACCACAATGCTTGGTAACTGAAACAGCAGAATATGATAGCCATATTGCCACTGACCATTTCCATTGTTGCGGGGACTGTAACCCTCTATTTAAGACAAATCAATGACAAAAAGCGTTTGTGCTGTATTATCACATCCACTTTTCAGGTACAGAAGGGTGGATTTTGGTGCTTCTCACCAAATTAACAAAAAATAAAGTACAGGAGTGAGAAAATGTATCAACAGTTTTTTCCCACAAACTAACAAGAACCTACAATCTTTATTTCATACCCCCCAATCTCTTTCTATTTACCTTCAAGAGCTAGCTAGCTACTCAACAGCAGACAAAATGTTGGATCCAAAAATCGAGTAAATTAAATGTGATCTCATATATTGAACTAATCGAGCGCTGTTTTATTTTTCCGGCCAGTTGTTGGTTTTGGCAATCCATCAAAGATCGGTCTCGTTATGGTTGAAGCAGACAAGGCTTGCAAATCTGGCTTCAAACTCCACTTCGATGTTGGCCAGATGGAAGAACTAATACTGTCTTGATCATTCAAGCTAGGCGTGCTTGATGACTTCCTTACCATGGGAAATCCATCAGCCACATCTCTGGGACCTGATTGCGCAGAGATCAAACCAGCTGCCTCAACATTTTTTGTGGCTCGGTTTCCTGCTTTGGGTCTGAGGGCTAAGCATTTTCCAGTGACTGTCGAGAAAGCAGCCCCGCTGTTTTCCTCTCTAATCAGCAAGTCAGAGTGGATAAAAGTGAAATCGGTTTCTGATTTCTGACGACGCCTCACCAATTTCCCAGACTCAAGTTCCTTTGCTTCATCAAGGAATAATTTGTTAACCAGTTCATTGTTCTCGTCAAGTAACTCATTAACCAAGCTTCTAGTTTTCCGATGGAGGCACAAAGGTGGGTGGGAAGCTGGTGATGGTTTAAGATACAGACCACCTTCCAGATGATGAGAATATTCACTCCTGTTGACTGCCATCTCAAAACCTTCAGATGTGTTCTTGTGATCTTTCGGCTTAAGCCCGTAGTAACCTTGTAAAGAGCTCATAGCTGGAGAAACCTTAAGCTGCGAAGATTTGGGATTCAAATGCTGGAATGAATCAAAGAGATCAGACTGCAAACCTCGTGGTGGGGTGTGTTCATAACTGCTCTGTCTGCAGAAAAAGTTCAGTGTCATAATCTGTAGATTTTAGGCTAAATTTGGGACTGATCTCCACCCCAGAAGATTCTCATGTTGAAAAATATTGTCAGCTAATCAAAAGGAACCCTGAATGCTGTAAGGTTTTAGCTTTAAGTGCATTTTCCTCTCAAATCTAAAAACCATCTAGAAAGACCATCTACACCAGTTGACTTAACCAAACTAATCTGGAACAGGCTGGGAGCTTGGATATTAAATTACATCCTCCATTCAATTATTTTGACTTGTGCTGATTATATTTACTATACTATCCAAAACTAAACATCTGTAATTTATCAAATGAATAATAGTCATGGATATGGCATATCCTTTTATCCGTAAAAATAGAATTACCATGTACAGCTTATTATTCAGTTTTACGTGAAAGTCGTGAGAGACAGACACACCACGCTACATAACACCCTCCCTCTCATTTCTTGCAAAATTCTCACATGCATTCCCCCGCTCCCCTAGATCTGACATTGGTCCTATTATTTCTCCTTATCCAATCCTTTGCTTTGTCCAATCTTATTTGAATTCAATTCAATTCAATTAGAACAAAAATTGACATCTGATATTCAAGTATTTCATTGTCTTACATGGATTGGATTTAATACAAACATACAGCAGGGAGGTGGAAAGGGTCCGGAAATGCTTGAGAATTACATCCCAATCAATATTCCATGCTCCCCAGGCCGGTCCCCTCCCACCCCCTTCTCCCCCCTTTTCTCCCACAGGTCACTCCAGCACAGCACACACCTATCCTAGTCCAGCACTTCAGGCTCCTCCCAGAGCCACTTATTGCCCCGTCTTTTAACACGACTTCCTTTAAACGTCACAACCACCACTACCACAAGAATAGAACTCTCCTCTCTCCTACCACCCAAAATGTAAATTACTGCATCGCAATCAGCATTACCACATCATGACATCACCTTTATATCCAATTCTAGCTTTTCGCATACACCACATTTGCTGATATAAACTTCTAGGTTCTCACGTGATATCCTCTTGAACATGTGTGCTTTGGAAGTCCACATAAATCAGAGCCTATATATATAAAGGTTTCTGCCTAGTCATGGTTTCGTCCAAGCAAGGTCCTTGGAGGGTAATCTGAAAAGGCCATTTTTGCATGAGGTTACCTTACTCAAGAATTGGACTATCCTAATATTTTCATTTGTGCGTTGCAGACTACATAGCACTAAAATTCTATGAACAGATCATAAGAAGCTCGAATGAAACTGTATAATAATAATAATAATAATAATAAATCAAGGTAAGTTTGACACATAGAAGCCCACATTTTTCAGCACAATAACATGATGGAGATATTCAAATGAAGCAGAAATGAAAACTAAGAACAGGCATGAGTGTAAAAGGAACGCATGAATACCGTGGAGTATCAAAACTATTTGATAAGAACATTGAGGGTGGATGTCTTCCAGGTAATGGGATCTGGAGTGACTTGAGAGCAAACATTTGAAGATCTGTAACCAAGCCATTCATCTTTTTTATGTCAGCCACCTAAAAAAATAGTCAAAAACAAGAGAAAAGAATATCAACTGCCTTACCATCTTGTTCATATAAGTTGTCTAAAAGCATAAACAAAATGTCACCATAAACTGCTGTGCAATTGTGATCAACATTTTGACACCCAGAAACTCAATAAATTCAATACCATCATTACCCAAAAAAAAAAAAAAAAAAACCCGGATATCGCAACATAAAAAAACGAAGTTCCAAAAAGATGGGCTGTTCTGGACACAAAGGGTACAGTTTTACACTAATGAAAATGATTATTCTGCAACTCTAACCAAACAAAAAACACATGAAGTAAGTATCAAAATGATACAGACCCACAACTACCTTTCCACAGACCCACAACTACCTTTCCTTTCCCTCCCTTTCTAATTAAATGTATAAAACCATAACACATTTTTAACATTACCCGATTCAAGATAAAAAGAACCCATTAATATGAGAAAGCAAAATCAATGGATTAATAAGAATTTTTTTTTATACCTCCACCCCGTATTTTATTGCGACACCGGCAAGAGTATCCAGCTTGGAAACCGGGTGTTCAATAAATCCGCTGCCACCATTTGAAGAGGTAGAAGCAGACGACGTTGATATGGTAGTTGATGGTGGCGACGGCATTGTAATTCGACCCTTCCCTTTGCCATTAATTTCGCTCTTGTTATAACTACTATAGAATTGCAAAACTTGATCTATCTCATCGTTGTGATTATCATGACAATCATAAACGCCACCGTTTGAAAACTGACTGTACTTGAAATTCTGGTCCTGATTCAGATGGTGATGCTGACTGCCGTTACTTTCCATCTGAATCTTCATCATATTGCCCAAAAAGAATCATGACCGTAAAAACTTCGGATCAGATTTTTTGATTAATTCATTGATCCGGAGATAATTGAATTGAATTCCATTTGAAATCAGACGAGAGAAAATTAAGAAGAGGAAAATAAAATGGGATTTTTTTTAACAGAGAGAGACGTAGCGAAGGGAATGCGCGTGAGAAAGAGAGGAAAGGTAGGTATGATGTGATGTAGTGTGATTTTTTTGCCCCCCTCCCTCGAGGTTTTTCAGGGACAGCGGAACATTATCTTCCTAGACTGGAGCTGCACTATTAAAAAGAGAAAAAAGAAGAGTGTGTGTGTGTCTACATACACACACTCACACACACAGTTCTTCCCGCGAACCTTGAGAACAACAACATTGACTTCTCTAGGTGAACTCAAACCCTTCGAATAAAAAAGAATGCCAAGCAAAATAGAAAAGTAAACTCATGCAAGACAGACAGACTAGATCAAATTAGTTGCCTAATAAAATAAAGGCTTGTAAACTGTGAACGAAACCAGAATGAGTAATTTGGCCTAACACACCTAATAACGACCAAGAAACGGTAGAAGAGTCATCTCAACACACAAAACAACCAAAAAAAAAGAAGCTGAAAAGAACGTTGGAATTGTTTGCCCAACCCACTAAACCCATCAATCCCAACCTCAAAACAATGTAAGGGATCTGTTATAAATCATGAAAGTCAAAAGAAAGCTACAAATACATCACACCCAGCAGGTTTCACAGATAGGTCGCAATTGAAAGGTAAAATATTCCTCGTAAATAAAAAGATCCAGAGCTCCTCGCATGTTACATGGCTTGAAGAGAGCACTAAAGCTCCAAGTTCCCAACATAATAAGCGCACAAAAATATGCATAAACAAAAGCAAAGGAAATAATGATGAAAGAGCAATGTTTTCAATTCAAAAGCATTGTCGATCAACATTGCTCCAACATGGCATGCTGCATTTTGCATCTAGTTCAGCTATTACTCCTAAACATACACTTGAGATTATTTTGAAAAGGCAATGAAGTAAATTTAAGATTAACAATATTAGTTTTTTATATCTAATCTTGTGAATGATATTGGTATATATGGAAGAGAGGTGGCAATATTTATGCTATCTCTTTCCGTGATATTGGCCTAAATATATGCCCATTTAATTATCAATCCTTGAACATGTATGAACAAAATTATCCTTGTCATCAC